TTAGACAAAGGGAAACTTATAGAATTTGTTGCTGGCACATCTACCTTTAAAGATTGGCTAAAGGGAGTTCTTCAAACAGAAAGAAAATGATAAAAGATGCAATCCTGGACCATCTTGGAGAAAGAAATAAGAAAAAAACAGAAGTATGGATGCATAAAATGGACTTATTCTCATTAGTTTTAGCAATCACATTTGATGATTAAAACAAAAATTAGACAACATCTTATACTGAGGGAAAATATATTTAAATATGGGAAGAAAACGGACATAAATGGAATTAAGTTTCCGCACTTTGCTCAAAGTAGTAAAATGTTGATACAAATAGACTGTGGTATGTTATGTATGCTTATTTTAATACTTAGAGCAAACACTAAAAAAATACAAAGTAATATACCAAAATAAAACACAATAAATAAATCAAGATGGAATCCTAAAAATTGTTCAAGTAACCCACAAGAAGGTAGGGGAAGAGAAAGAGATAATGACAAACTGAGGAGGAAAAACAGAAAAAAAAAATGTAATGGCAAGCTTAAGCCCTAGCATATCAATAATTATCTTAACTTTAAATAGTCTAAATATATCAATTAAAAGAAAGATATTGATATGGCAGATACAAAAATATGGTCCAACAATACGCTGTCTACAAGAAACTCACTTCAAATATGATGGTATAGAAATGTGTAAAGTAAGAGGATGGAAAAGATATATCATGCAAACATCAATTACAAAAATGCAGGAGGGAGTAAATTAATGTTAGATAAAGTAGAATTTAAAGCAAATAAAATTAGTAGAAACAAAGAGTACATATGCCAATAAGACATAATGATCCTAAATATATTTGTACAAAAAAAGTTAAACCCGATAAAGGTGGAAAGAGAAATATAAAAATCTTTACATAGTTAGGGATTTTAACACCCCTGTTTTAGCAATTAAATTACTTGATTAAAAAATCAATAAAGATATAAAACTGACCAATACAATCATCCAATTGGATCTAATTGACATATACAGATAATCTGACAAAACAACAGTGGAATAAACATTTTATAAGAGTCTGTGACCTAGCACTCTGGGAGGCCGAGGCAGATGGATCCTTTGAGCTCAGGAGTTCAAGACCAGCCTGAGCAAGAGCGAGACCCCGTCTCTACTAAAAAAGTAGAAAGAAATTAGCTGTAGAAAAATAAAATAAATAAATGAATTAAAAAAAAAAAAAAAGTCTGTGAAATAGGTACCCATATAGGCCATACAACAAACCTCAACAAATTTAAAAGAATTAAAATCACACACAGAATGTTTTCTGACCATGACTTCAACCTAAAAGTTATTAACAGAAGGATGAGAAAATCTCTGATAACTTGGAAATTAACACATTTCTAAATAATCTACGGGTCAAAGAGGAAGTCGCATATGAAATTTAAAGATGTATAAAACTGAAAGAAAATACGGTATAACATGCCAAAATATCTGAAATGCAGCTAACACAGAGTTGAGAGGGAAACTGTACCCTTAAATGCTTATGTAAGAAGAGAGGAAAAGATTCAAATCAATAATCTACGTTTCCACTTCAGGAAACTAGAAAAATAAGAGAAAAATAAAGCCAAAATAATCTGAAGGGAGGAATTAGTAAAGACAAAAATTAATGAAACTAAAAACAAAAAAATTGAAAAAAATTAATGAAACAAAAAGCCGTTTCTTTGAAAACCATCAGTAAAATTTACAAACTTCTAGAAAGACCAACAAAATTACAAAACGTAGAAGACACAAATCACCAACATCAGGAATAAAACAAGGATATTACTACAGATCCTGCTTCCATTAGAAAGAGAATAATAATACAAACAACTTTTCATAAAATTGACAACCTAGAAAAAATCATTACCTTCAAAACCACAAAATATCAAAACTCAATCATGATAAAATACCCAACTTGAATAGTCCTATAATGATTAGAAATAGAATTAGAAATTTAAAAGCTGAAAAAGAAAATCACAGGCCCACGTGATTTCACTAGAAAATTCCATGAATTTACACATAAAAAAACTCAACAAAATATTAGCAAATCAAATTCAGCAATGTTTTCCAGATATGCAAAGCTGGTTCAACATTTGAAATTCAATCAATATAATCCAGCATACCAATAGTCGAGAGGAGGAAAATTATGATTGTGTCAATATATGCATAAAAAGCAGCTGACAAAATCCAACACCCATTCATAATAAAAACTCTCAGCAAACTAAATAATAGATAAAACTTCAAGTGATAAAGAACATCTACCAAAGCTTACAGCAAACACCATATTTAATAGTACAAGAATGAACACTTTCCCACTAAGACTGGGAACAAGGGAAAAATATCACACCATTTTTATTTAGCATAGGGCTGTAAGTTCTAGCTTTAAGGCTATTAGCCTTCTAGCATAGGGCTGTAAGTTTCTTACTATAAGGCAAGAAAAATAAATAAGAGGCACACAGACTGAAGAGGAAGAAATAAAACTACCCCTATTTTTAGATGACATCATTATGTATGTAGAATATCCCAAGGAATCTACAAATAAGAAACAAAACCACCTTAGAAGAAATATATTCAACAAGGTCACAAGATATAAAATCAACACACAAAATCCAATCATATTTTAATTTACTAAAAACAAATATATAGAAACCAAAATTTAAAACACTAAACCATTTACAGTTACTTCAAAAAATAAAACACTTAGGTATAAATCCAATAAAACATGCATCATATCTATATCCTGAAATTTTCAAAATGCTGATGAAATAAACCAAAGAAGGCCTAAATGAATGAAGAGACACATCACGTTCACAGATTGGAAAACTCAACCTAGTAAAGACGTCAATTCTTCCCAAATTGATTCTATAGGTTCAATGTAATTCCTATGAAAATGGCAAGGTGTTTTGGAGACACAGACCACCTTATTTCGTAAATTTATAGAGAAAGGCACAGGACCTAGAACAGTTAAAACAACTTTGAAAAAGAAGAATCAAGTAGGAGAAAGTCCTCTACCAGATGTTAAGGCTTACTAAATAGCTACGGTGGTCAGCATGGCATTGGCAGAGGGACAGACACAAAAAGATCAATGGAACAGCTGGAGGACTCACTCACCCAATATGCCTAAATGACTGTTTTACAAAGGTGCAAAGGAGGAAAGACAGACTTCAACAAGTAGTGCTGGAGCAAATATACACCCATTGACAAAAAAATGAAACTTGACCCAAACCTTATACATTATTTTAAAAATTAACTTAAAATGAATCACAGAATTTAATGTAAAACTATAAAACTTTTAGGGAAAAAACAGGTGAAAATCTTCAGGACCTAGGTCTAGGTAAAGAGTTTAGACTTGACACGAGAAGCATAATCCATAAAAATATAAATAAATTGGACCTCATCAAAAATTTAAAACCTTTGGTTTATAAATGACCCAGTGAAGAAAATGAAAATAAAAACTACCAACTGGGAGAAAATATTTGCAAACAACATATTCAATAAAAGACTTGTATCTAGAATATATTTAAAAACTTGCAAAACTCAACAGTAAAAACAAGCAATCTAGAAGATGGGCAAAAGACATAAACAGATATTTCACCAAAGAGAATATAGAGATGACAAATAAGCACATGAAAAGTTGTTCACCACCATTAGCCATTAGGGAAGTACAAATTAAAACCACAATGAGATATCACTACACAACTATAAAAATGGCTAAAACAAACAAAAAAAAGCTATATTGAAAGTACCAAATGCTGTTGAGGATGCAGGGAAACTGGATCGCTCATTCTCTGCTGAAAGAAATGTAAAATTGTATGGCCACTCTGGAAAAGAGTATGTCATTTTCTTTCAAAACCAACATGCACTTGCCACATGCACTTGCTACATGCAATCCAGCACTCTTGGACATTTATCCCAGGGAAAAATGAAAAATTGAGTTGACACATAAACCTGTACACGAATGTTTATAGCACTTTTATTCATAATGGCCCCAAACTGGAAACAATCCAAATATCCTTCCCATCCTTCAGTGGGTAAATGGTTAAACTATGGTACCCCTGTACCATGGAATACTACTCAGCAATAAAATGGAATGAATAATTGATACATCCAACAATGTGAATGAATCTCAAGGAAATTATTCTGAGCAAAAAGAAAAAAAGTCAATCTTCAAAGACTACATACTGCATTGCCATTATAAAGCATTCACCAAATGACAAAATTACAAAGGTGGAGAACAAATTGGTGATTGTTAGGGTTTAGGAACTTAGGGAGGAAAGTGGTGGCTCTGACTATAACAGGGGAGCAAAGTAATCATGTATTTTGACTGTGGTGCTGGTCATAGGACTCTACATGTGATAAAACTGCTACAAATAAACGCAGATGTGCACACACTTGCATGTATAAGAGCTGACGTAGGAATAAGGCTGATGGATGGTATCCATGTCAATGTGTGACACTGTACAGTAGTTATGCAAGATGTTACCACTGGGAGAAATTAAGTAAAGAATATATGGTATCTCTATTATCTAACTACATATAAATATATAATTATCTCAAAATAAAAAGTTAACACAAAGGAATGATCCAGTATATATTAAGAGCTACAATCACGCTCATGACTTGACTGGCAATTTCAGTTCGGAAATCAGCGGTCATTTATCTACTCAACATCTATATGAGGCACTGTGGAAGATGACGGAGATTCAGTGGTGAAAAATACAGACATAGATCCTGTCTTCATAAACTCCCAGACTAGGAAATATGAAAAGAGTTCAACGTATGAAGAGGGTCATTACATCTTCAGTTATATGAGTGAGAACTGGAATCAAATTTAACAATAAGAGAAAGGTTAAGTAATTTTTGGAATATTATATGCCCATTAAAATGACTGTGAATACTTAATAGAATGGAAAAATGCTTGTAACATTAAGAACAACACTAAATTGAAAAATGACTCTCATTAGTACTGATAATTAATGACAACTTACTTTATATGAATAAACTTTTATTGAATTTTAGATAATTAGAAAGAATAAAGAAATGCAAGATAAATGCTTCCTACACAGCATCTGATAGTATCTTCTTTGCCACAATATTTTCACTTTTCTTTATAAAAAGTATAGACATTCATTTATTTCAATTTTTACAAAATCAAGAACCATCAAATGGAAAAAATAAGTAATGCTAAAGTAAATTCATCTTTTTATCAATATTGAAATGGTTGTAATGGTTAGGTTCTGAGAGTGGCCTTCTTGGAAAAACAGTATATGCAGCAGCTGATGGTTTCCATTCATTCAAATAACTGAAAAAAGGTCAGGAGGCCACTCCCTGTGAAGACTTATGCTTGCAGGAAAAGAGGGCAAAAAGCATGGCGGGAAGAGGGAGTGAGAAAACACATCCAGGAAGAAAATACACTCTTATGGAATCATGGGGTCAGTATCATAAATAATTTAGAAAACAAATCTGGGAAGAAATTTGTAGGTTGCTTGAAGTGTGATTAAGGCGAGATAGTCACTATGTAGTATGGCCAGATCTACATAGCACAAAATAAGAGTGGGGAGTTTGTAAATCAATCTGGTGTACCGCAAGGCCAGCCAAACCAGGAAATTAACCACAAAAGGAGTCTCTTTACAGTGTTGTGAACTGCATTTGGGCAACACTGCAATATTGAGCTGTTACAGATATAGGGCTGACCCTTCCTGGGGCACACTGGGACACACTCTTTTTGTCTCCGTCTTATCTCTTTAAAAAAAAAACAAAAACAAAACAACTCCTGCCCTCCCTGTAACCACCTGGTAACCTCTACATGCCAAACAAGGAGAAAGTTATCTACCCTAGTACAAAAGGCATCAGGTGCTGCCCTCATTGAGAGAAACCTAGAGTGGCAGCAAGGAAGACCTGGACAGCCCTTCTCCGAGAGGCCGCCCAGCAAAGCTGCAACCCTCAGCCTCACTCTCCTGCCTCTGTGCTGCCCGCACAGCCTCGCTCTTTCACGATGTTACGTACCTCCTGTGGACTCACCAGACACAAGGCCCGAAAAAGGTTCTAAACAAGTTGTCTTTCCTAGCCCAATGCCTCTCATGTATTCAAAAAAAAAAGTTTTCTTTAAAAAAATATTTTCCCAGGAAAAAATGAACAGTAGTTGCCATGGACCTGTAACAGATCCTAGAATAACCCAGACAGGCAAGAATCTGTCAATACAGCAATATTCCAAATATGAAATTCATGGTTCAGGAAGAGATAGATAAATAAATAAATATTGAGGGGCTTCTCAAAGAAGTTTCCTTTGTTTTCCCCTATTTCTTACTTAATTTTGTTTGTGTAAAAAGTTTTGATTATATGATAGAAGAGCCAGCCCTGTTGGGACCAATGCTAACCATTTATGCCATTGAGCCCTCTACATAATGAGGGAATGGGGAGAGGCAGGACATATCACAGGGTTGCTCATTATTTCCTTAAAGACCTGTCTTTTTAAATAATTTCAATATTTAAACTCCATCTGGCACTTCAGTCTTTTGAAAAATTATTAAGTTAGGCATGAATTAAAGAACAAGCCCACCCGGACTGCAGTTCGGGTTTTAAGTGCTATTCTGCTCTTATATCTTTTTCCTTGGCTTGGCACATCTTTGAGATCCAGCTTTGTGAACAGAACCCCCAGACACCTGTGGTGGGAAATCAAGTCTTCACGGTGGAGCATTCCAGTCCATTCCACACATCTCACATCCAGGTAACAGCATCGCCTTCTTTGTGCTTTTTACTAGCATAATTACAAGGAAAGTGTTTCTTTCCCAGCACTTGCCCACCCCACCCTCCTCCTTGTATGGAGGCATTCCATTTATTCATTTCTGAGCACAACAGCCCTTCGTGTTCTATACCAGGGACCCAGCCCGACTCTGGGCTGGCACCATGACAGGTACAGCACCGATTCGCTCCAGCGTTGCGTGGCTGACGGTGTAGGAATGTGTGTGCTGAGGCCGAGGCTTCCTGCTGACTGAGCCATTGCTTCTGGACATGACCTGTGGTGATGACTCCCTGTTGGCTGTTACTACCAGAGTCTTATGCGGACCTGAGACCGGATGGTTCCCGTTAGCATAAATGGATGGTATACTGGCATTGCCTGACTGGAGGGAGAAAGACTGGCGCAAGTCACTGAAGTGGTTGAATGACTCTGTGTTTCTGTGAACTTTTGGATTGTTGCTCCAGTATCGACTGTTGTAAGTGTTGGAAGAAGTCAACGTGTTGTTCTCCGAGGAGGATATCTCAGTGTGGAATGCTTTGGCAGAAGAAGAACATTTAGGTGGAAGATCATCCTCTCTGAAAAGGAACAAAAATAAAGTTGTCATTAGGATTTATTTGAGGTTAATCCTATCGTCCTACCCAGGACTCTTTCTTTTCATGCTGAGGCTAATATGTCTGAAATACAAATCCTCAGGAGAGACCACTCTATCATGAAAGCAAACAGGCAACCCTGGATGGCCCTTGGCTTTGACACCCACTCCCTTTGAGACAACGGTCAAGAAAATCTCTCCTCAATTGCTCAGTCTCCAAGAGTAGGAAAGGAAATATCAAATCTCTCAAAGAATGTCTCTTCCAATATAACTGAAATATATGTATCTGCATAAATATATATAATTTGTAAATATATATGAGTTGGGGTTTTTTTAATGTAAATAGGAAAATAGTCCATAAAGAAATCCACTGAGCTAGCTGCCATAAAATAGCCAGGAAATCAAGCTATGGGCGTGGAGAACTTTAGGAGATGATTAGAGTTGGCCTGATTTTATTGCCTTTTAGGGTTTGAGAAATCACTGTGGTGCGCTGATGAGAGGTTTTCCTGAGTAATCTTATGGTGGGATGGAATCTATCCCTGCATACGCCTAAACCTTTAAGAATTACAAGAGGCTGAGAGAAGTCATTAATTTAATTTAAGATGCTAACTAATTGACTTGACATTTATTGAGTACCCTCTAACTAGATGTTTCCTGTTTTAAAAAAAACAAAATAAGTCCTACACCTAAGAAGCCTACAGTCAAATGAGGGGTAGCAATCAATGCAAGAACATTTGCAAATCTGAAAGGCTGGGTGAGGGGCTAAAGACAATTTGTGTGAGAAGGTGATGCCTGGACTAGTCTTGAATCCAGTCAAAGAATTTAGCAAACAGATGGATCAAAAGGAAGGAAACATGGTCCAGAAAGAGAACAGGGGCTTGAGTAAAAGGGCTTAAGTAGAAGCCCTGAGGCATGGGAAACTGCAGAAGAGATGAAAGCAGAGTGAGCTGGAAAGTGCTGAGACAAGATGAGCAGGTTGAGGGTCGCACCCTGGCGGGCTGTGTACCTTTCGCTGAGGAAACTGGAGTCATTAAGGTATCTTCAACAAGGGTGTGCCGCGATGAACTCAGTCTGAGCCTGAACCCTTGAATCTCCACAATACACCAAAAGTCACTTTCTTTAAAGGATCATTTTGGCATTGTTTTCCTAAGATGTTCATATTCTTGTCTGAACTGTCTTTCTGAGTCATGCTGCTGGGGCCTATCTGTGTCCAGGCACTGGTATGCTCTTACAGTGTTTCCTCTTGCTCTATGTTCTCATCCATTATAAATGTCAATGTTAAACACATGTTTTAAGCTAACTTTTCTATCGTGGCAGCCACCTAAACTCACATACCCTGGAGATGTGGAGGAGCAGGAGAATTCTTCACTTGTATCCTCCTAGTTGGGCACATGCTAGACTTTACTCCCTTTTGTGATCCAATGAATAAAGTTGAGTAGTTCCATGAGGAAAAATGATACACAAGAAAGGATCATTTGGCCACTTTAATTTCCTTGGCCATTAGAGTTATAAGATTAGCAAAGAAATCTTAACTACCAAAATAAACAGAAATACACATTGGCCATGCAGGACAAATTATCCAACACACAAACCTTATTTCATTAGGAATTTCTTCTTCTTCCTCCTCTTTATTTTTGCTTCTCCAGTAAAAGAATGCCCCTAAAATTAGTGCAATGCAAAAAATGATAATAACTGCACCAGTGCCAATGGCTCCAGCTATTAGTCCAATGTTCCTGGGCTGGGCTGAAAAATATATTTAAAGAGAAGAGAAAGAGAGAAATAGCATATACCCATGCAACTGTATAAACATAGAAGTTTACTGAAAAATTTTCTTAAAATGTACAAAACTGCCGAAAATATTTCATCCATGAAAAGTTAAACCTCAATTAACTTTCTATATCCCCAGTGGCTAGTACTAACACATAACAGGCTCAACATTTGCTGAATGAATAAACAGTTAAATGACTTGCATAGCTTTAGGAGAGTAACACCAAGAGCAAGGCAGAAAACAGATGGCACCTATCTAAGTCACCTGATCCATCCAAAACAAACCCTAGAAATCAGTGGGATACCTTATTACCACATCCTAGCCAAATCACTCCCTTTTGCAAATGGAATTCAAATAACCGAGAATTCTCAACTAAAGAGAAATTTTCTGCACTGCCTATTTAAACCTATATAACCAATTAAGCAGATATAAGAAATTACAAAAAAAACACAAGAAGGTCTGTTATACCCGTAAGATTATTACAAATTTTTTTAATGTCTATAGTATTATACAATAAGAACTGGTTTAGGCTGTGTGTGGTGGCTCACACCTGTAATCCTAGCACTCTGGGAGGCGAAGGCGGGAGAATCATTTGAAATCAGGAGTTGAAGACCAGCCTAATCAAGAGCAAGACCTCGTCTCTATTAAAAATAGAAAAAAATTAGCTGGGTGTGGTGGGGTGCACCTGATAGTCCCAGCCACTTGGGAGGCTGAGGCAGAAGGATCACTTGAGCCCAGGAGTTCGAGGTTACAGTGAGCTAGGATGACGCCACTGCACTCTAGCCGGGGCAACAGAGCAAGACTGTCTCAAAAAAAAAAAAAAAAAAAAAAAGAAAAAAGAACTGGTCTGCTTCTAATTATCCTGAAAAGAAAGATATTTTGTCACAAAGATTATCATTTTGCTGAGGCTGAAAAGTATACTAAAACATTTATAAAATATTTTCAATAATGATTTTCAAAACCAAATATTTTCAAATATTTCAAATATAAATATTTTCAAAACCAAAAGAACTTCTATTAATCTTCAGAAAACCTCAATTAAGCAGAACCTTCATTTTCTGTTTTAACAAAAATCTTACAGAGCTTCAGATCCAGAGTTGACATGAGAATTTCATATACTTACGTGAAATAACCTGGAGATCCAGAAGACAGGTGCTGGTTCCAATGGCATTGGAAGCCACGCACTGGTATAAACCTGAAGACAGGGCACTGATGTTCCGGATGGTGACTGTTCCCTGGACCTGGTCTGTCACAAAAATAATAGTCACGTGAGGATTTGGCAGAAATAATAAGAAAACCAAAGAAACTGGCAGAAGACTAGACTATAAAAATATATTAACACTGTAGAGCTATCAATAAATTTATTTTTGGGAGAAGGAAAAATTTTGAGTTCATGAATGTTAAAGACTAAAATTACTACATCACTTTAAAGATCTGGAACTATGGAGGACTGTCCTAAATAAGAACAATCTTAAAACTTAATCTGTAGATTAGCATGTAAAGTCCTAAATGTTATGAAATAGTAGCCTCCCTTGAGGCAATGGTGGCTAATGCTTATCCTAGAGAATTTATGGTCAGTAGTACCGAAGTTTAATTTTGAGGAAATACAGTAACATAAAGATCAAGTTAAACTTACTATAATAATATTCACTTGATACTTGATGAAGAAACTATCAAGTCTGTGCTCTAAGGTATAGATTGCTACTCCCTTCCAACAGTGGTTACACTTGTGTTAACTGAGATCCCCCAAGAAGCAGGCTCCAAGACAAGCACAAGGTTTAGTGGAGAAGACACCAGTAAAGGAAATGCAGAGGAAACTGGGGAAGGCTGGGAGAGCCTCAGACCCTGCAGGGCAGGTCCGACCTCCGTGAAGCAGAGAGGGAAGAAAGGAAGATGGGGTAGGAAGAGTCACAGACTGCAGCGTAGTTTTAAGGTAGTTTCCACCAGGCAGAAGGGGAGTCCTCGAACCAAAGTCACCCGTTCAAGGTGCCCCATGCCTTGCAGAAACAGGCCCGTAGTACTACACTCACTGCACCTCATCACTTGGCCGGGATCAGCCCCGGGGAAGCTTGGCCTGGGAGTGCAGCAGAGGTGGATTCAGGGGGGAAGCAGCTGGGGCTATTAGTCTATTATGTTCCCACATTGGGAGGTTTGAACAATGTGCTTTTAAGGCCACTGTATTGGTATTACCAAGAAATGTTTCAATAGTTCACATTTTAGTAATTCATGAACACTAGCATAGTTTGATTATTTATTCCTATAAATGTAAATGACTTATAATAATAATAAAATTAAAGTTAATAGTTATTAACTATTATGCCAATAATTGGGTAAGCTTTCATATGTATTATCTCAATCTTTGCAATAACCCTGTGAGGTAGGTTTATCACTAATGCCACTGAACAGTCAAGGAGACTGAAGCTTTAGATGGGCAGTAAGATTACACAGCTGGTTGTTAGGAATGGGAATTGGATGGAGGGATCTTACCTCTAAGGTCTAGGCTTTACAGTCCCCCTTAGGCAGGATAGATAATATCAATACATCCAATCAGCTCAACCTTCCAAATAGCTGCAAATTTAGAAGTAGAAAAGCCTCCTAATGGCACAAATAAGAAAACAATTCTGGCACAAAGTCCAAGCATGCCTGGGCAGCACTTGGAGCTATCCCCACCCTGGACTGACTTATTTTTATATGGAACTAAGATGAGCTATCTCGTTTCTGCCGGCAACTTTTATCTCTATCTAGATCAAAGGCAGAAGCAGAGAGGAGGAGTCAGCAAATGCAGACCTGACCACAGTGCATTCATTAATTCAATCGTTTAATAAATAAATATTTATTGAGCACCTTCCTTTGTGCTGGGTTTTCTGAGGATGCTGATACAATGATGAACAAGACAGAAACAGTCTCTCACCTTAATGAGACAAGCAGGCAAGCAACGGGTAAGTGCCAGCAGGGCTAGAGAATATCGGGTGCTAGGGGAGCACACAGGAGGGACATCTAATGAGGGCCTGGGAAGTCAAATAGAACACGGGAGAGGAGAAAACAATTGCCTCCTCAGAAATTACCCGGCACACAGAAAAGTGCTTACTAAATAAAGGTGATCAATCAATAAATAAAAGGGCTAGCTTCTCTTTAGTGTCTATTGTGTACCCCTGTAGTAAGCTTTAAATATGTCTCATTTAACAAGCTTAGATTTTACATTCCCTACTTTTCAAACATAAGGAAGCTCAAAGAAGCTATGCAATTTAGAAAGGGTGTAGAGCAAGATGGCTGAATAGAAAGCTATGCAATTTGTCCAAGATTACCTAGTATACAAGTAGCAGCAGTCTTTAAAATAGGGTCTGTCCAAGTCAAAAGCTCATAATCACCATAAGTACAACTGGCTTTCCAGTAAGGCATTTAAAACTATATTATTCTATAGTGTGTATCTACAGGATATTTCCTAACCATGAAATGTTCCAATGCTGTTAGTATTATAAACTAGGTCATCTGCCTAACTCCCTCTTCATTCAACATATGCCCTAATGTCAGCATGCAAGAAAACCATAATCTCTGTACAACAACCCTACAATTCCACATATGATGGTGGTGGTGGTGTTTTGGGTTTGTTCCCCCCCCCCACCCCCCGCCCTGCTCCACCCCCACCCCAGGCCCTGAAATTCTAAAACTTTGAAGAGCTCACACCAAACCAGTAATTTTGTTGACACTTCTGTAGAGACAATTAGGGAAATTTTAAACAGCTCCTCTAAGCAGCACTCTAACAGGTAGAAATAGATAAATTCTAAAGATTACTGCTTTAAAGTTACTTTTTAAAAGGTAAAGTTACTGTTCTTACTGTTGACTCTTCAGATGCTGATACCAGGAGCATGTTGCTCTAAGAAAGTATTATTAAATGAGGTTGACATACTATGGTAGAATTAACTCAGAATGTAATCAGGAATTGAGAAAGACACATTGATAAGGGAGGATTAACCAGAAACAAAACAGAGTTGTTTATGTAGACAGGGCAAAGCAGAGACCGGAGCAACTCTCCAGCAAACATCAGACTACAGCCACAGAGCATGCAGCTCTTCCTGAAACTAGCAGGGCTAATTCCTCAAATCTGTCATTTCAGTTAGCTGCTCTAGCACAGAAGTAAATTGCTGAAATGAAGTCAGAGAATAAATTTTATTTTTTTCTTTTAAATAGGGAAAGTTCAACTGTGTGTAACTGCATAGTTTGGAAAGCTCAAAGGACATCACCCCCACTCTGTTTTAGTTCACAGCAACACTGTATCCCATACCAGCTGTGTGCCTGGTCTGTAATGTGCTTCCCAATTAGAGAGAAACAAATGTAAGAGTATATTTCCAGTTCCATCCTTTCTCCTTAGTTCCAGAACGCCACCTCTGGCTGCCTATGAGATGCTGTATCTGCCAAGAATATGTGAGCCAGAGTCAGACAGCCTGGGTGTAAATCTACACTATCTCCTACTAGTTGTGGTTTTAGGTGTGTGACCTGTTCTTCATCTATGTTTTAGTTTCCTCATCTGAAATAAGGAGCTTCCAAAGTGCCTACACCTCATAGGTTACAGTGAGGACTAAACAAGATAATGCATGTAAAAAGTTTACTATAGTGGCTGGTAATGTTTTCATGTGGGAATTCCTTCCTGGCGTATCTTAGGAAATTTATACATTTTTCTGAATCATAAGAAAAATCAGTCAAGAAATTTGGAAAATGTCTAGTGTCTCTGAATTCCCAAAAGATATTAATCTTTATGATTTGAGAATGATACGGATTCCTAAACTACAAATTATTCTGTATTTTATACCAGTTATGTATTTTAAATAATGAGTGACCATAATAATATGCAGTGAGCATTTCTTATATAAAGGTCTCAGAAGTATTCTGTAAAAAAAGATAAAATAATAAAAGTACAGTTTATTACATAAAAATTATATGTTTCAGTGATGTGTAAAAATTATCTCAGCCTGAAACAGACATGTGATAATAAGATTGTAAATAACGGGAATACTTAAATACAAAATAAATGTCAAATAAAAATCTATTTAAAAACTTAAATACCAAAAATAATATTTAAACTCTATCATTCTTAAAAGATAAATTTAAAATACTATACAGCATTGGGCATAAAAAATTTTATTTCATTTTTGTGTTGATGTTGGTAGAATTAAGAAGGAGATGGAGAAGGGACCGGGGAGACCTGTTCCCATTAAGAGAATGTCCAGCAGCACCTTCCAGACGGTGTTAGGATACATGCTGCTTCATATTTGATTTCCTTTAGTCAACAAAAAAAAACTATTTTGTCTGCTTGCCCTGACTTTGGTTTTGTCACTGAAATAGATACTGCTTTTGCCAATTCAGATTTTTTTTACACTTTCCATAGGTATTTATTAAATTTATATATAAATACCAAGCTCCAAGTCCATTGTCTTTTTTTTCATTTCAGCATATCATGGGGTACAAATGTTTAGGTTACGTATATTTTCTGATTTCATGTCAGTATATTCCACAGCAACATCCCTATCTTCTTCTTTTTGCATTTCTGCCATTTAAAGTATTCACAGAAAACCAAAGCTTACAGCAAATATTTGAACATTGGAAAACACCAATGAACATTACTGGGCAATATTTGAATAATGTAATATTCAAATCCCCTGGTATTAACAACATTACACAGAATCACACATCAAAATTACCAAGTTAAGGGCTTATTTTGCTTCTGAAATTTATCGCTTGGAAACTACTCTTGGCACTTACAAAAAATGTACCATGTATACAAAAATATTAATATTTGCAAAAATTATTCACCATTAGCAACATATAAAGCGATTAACACACATTTACACCATGGCAACAGCTATAAACAAGACTAATTGATTAGATCCAGACTGCTTTCTCCTAATCACTTCTGTCCGGGTTGTCAGAAATGTCGACTCTGCCTTTGCTTTTAACTCGACATCACTGGATGCTTATGAATCAGTACATCTCTATGCTGACTGTGAAGCTTTAATTCTCATAGGAGAATGGCACTTAGTCTCCAAGAAATGTTACCATGACCACTATTTCAATCCCCATCTAGAGGTCCTGGAAATCACCTCCCTCAAGCAAACCTCTACAAATTCCTTCTCTGAGTTAATATGGTTTCTGTTTATTCAGGGGCTCACTGCAAGAGTCTGATTTAAGTCTGATTCTTCTGAGTCCCAACATAAATCGAGTCCCATATCTTGTTGATTTTTAACCTCAATC